GCGCCTTGCCTAGAGCAACTTGCGCAGAGCAACTTACGCAGAGCAACTTGCACAGAGCAACTTGCACAGAGCAGCTTGCACAGAGCAACTTGCAGGGAGCGCAATTTGCACAGAGCAACTTGCAGGGAGCCACTTGCAGGGACCAACTTGCCGGAGCAACTTGCGCGGAGCAACTTGCGCAGAGCAACTTGCACAGTGCAACTTGCGTAGAGCAACTTGCGCAGACCAACTTGCACCGACCAGTTTGCGCAGAGCACCTTGCCTGGTGCTGTCTCGCGCTTGCTTCACAAATGCTTCGTGTAGGGAAAAAGAACGCATCCTGCAGCGTTGGGCCGACCTCGCTTGCGATGTTCTGCTTTCGGGCCAACCGTGGTCTAGTTTCTGGTTCGCACCCATTGTTTAAGGGGACCAGAATAATAGAAAGGTTTTTTGGCCGGGGGGAAATTCCAAAAACAAACTCCACAAAGCAATTTCAATTAAAAAACCATCCCCCCTCCCAGAAAATACACTATCAGTTGCTTTACTCAAAAGCATTCCCCTTTCAATTGGTGGCCCACTTGCTTAAAAGCATCCCTTTCAATTGGTGGCTCACTTGCTTAAAAGCATTCCCCTTTCAATTGGTTGCTCAACCACAGAACCCAAAGCCAGCTGAAACCTCTTAAATTTTGAAAACCATCCCCAGCCCTGAAACTGCAAACTCTTTATTAAACCGTGTTAAACAAAATGCCAAAAAAGAAAACACAATCAGGACAAGGGTACCCCTCACAGACCCCACTGAACCACAATAATGTGATTGTTTTAGGGGACCACAATAGTGGCAAGCCCCCAGCCCCCCCTCCCAGAAAATAAGCTATCAGTTGCCTTTCTCAAAAGCATTCCCCTTTCAATTGGTGGCCCACTTGCTTAAAAGCATTCCCCTTTCAATTGGTTGCAATACTAAAGCATTATGCCAAAAAGTATGCTCAGGAAGAAGTTGTTGCAATACTAAAGTAGAATTGCAAAAAGGAAGTGGCTGCAATACTAAAGTAGAATTGCAAAAAGGAAGTGGCTGCAATACTAAAGTAGAATTGCAAAAAGGAAGTGGCTGCAATACTAAAGTAGAATTGCAAAAAGGAAGTGGCTGCAATACTAAAGTGGAATTGTAAAAAGGAAGTGGCTGCAATACTAAAGTAGAATTGCAAAAAGGAAGTGGCTGCAATACTAAAGTAGAATTGGGCCCCAAAATTATCCATTGTTTGGACGTCCCAAAAGTGCGCCCCCTTTATTTTGGCGCCTCCATTGTTCAGGGGGGGGGGCCTTCTTTATCAAGTGCCAACATTATGGGTGATGCTTTTTCGGGGGCGGGGCGGGGGGGGCCCGTGTAACAAGAGAGAAATGACTCTAATAAGTTTCAATCATCATTCTCCCATTTTCACGAGGCATGTTGGTTTAATACTATGGTGGTCATCGAACCCCGGGGTGGCCTGGGCGATTGAAGCAACAAGTTTGGTAGCCTGTGTTGTCATCCGCTCGTTCGACGGTGAAGGTTAGGCGACAAACCCAAGATGCGGATATGGGGTGACCAAAGGGTCTTCGCATGGGAGAACCATTGGGGAAACCACTACAACGATGATATGTCCCATTAACCTCGGTCTTCCAAGGACCCACAAGAAAAAGGGTCCTTTTTGATGTGGCTCTTGGATTCAAATGAAAATCGGCCAGAAGCCTGCTTTTTCAAGGTAGTGGAAGATCAAGGTAATGGTATAAGTTACCCATGGTCAGTCAGGGGCCGTTCATGGAATATTGATCAACCCCCCCCCCCCATATCCGGGCTTTCAATTCTTCGCATATCCCCACCTGGTCCCTCAAGAATGGAATTGGGGGAGGGTTTTTGACTGGAGACCTCCATTTGTATGGCATAACCCATGTTCCCGATGGTTGACCCTGGCCGGGTCAGCACCCACCCTCCCCCGTAGGTAGGCGGGTTCTTGGCGTTTGGGAGCACTTTGGAACGCCAATTGAGCAAGAGGTTTGTTTCGAACTTTGTGGGATTTGGGCCGGCTACTTGTCGGTTTGAGATGCGTTGGGGTTGGTTTAGGGAGGTATTGGGTGGGTCCAGGGCATGTGCAGGGTTGCTTTAGGGTGGGTTTAGGGTGGTTTAGGGACACTTTTTTGGGTCTGGTTGCCATTTTAGCGGTCAATTAAAATGTTTGGCTGATTTTCGTTTTGCCAATCCACTCGATCGATGAGTTGAACCCCAGTGCTGACAGCTACCGCTATGCGAGGTGGTGAATCTGCTGGAGCCACGCGCTGAGATACGGCGAAAGCTGCGTGAAACGGGGCTCCATGTTTGAGTCAACCGAATCGGGGTGGAGCATTGTCCCTAAAGGGAAACCGAATCCTGGCTCCTTGGAAGAGGATTGCTCGGAAGATTGAAGATGGGTTCGATTTCTGAGGTTGATGGTTTAAAAACCAAGTTGGTGAGCTTGGTTTTTGCATCGGGAAGTGAGTTGGGTTTTCAGTGGGCATGGCTTCTATTGAGTGCACCAGTCTCTCTTCGTGGTTTTTCATGGCCCCTGATATGTTTGGCAGTGATCCCGGAGAACTTCCGGCACCCCAAAGCCGTTGGGAAAGCTTGGGTTACTCGCAAAAGTCGTCTTTTGGGGAAACGAGAAATGTGGACTATGATTTTAGGCCCCAGGTTTGCACGGTGTCCTTTTAGATTCGGCAAGTTTGTTTGATCAGATGGGTTGAACTCTCAGCATCGATTTCCCGATACCAGTGGCACTTATTGTTAGTTTGGTTGAATCTATGTTTTTGCAATGAGGACTCCGGACCCTCTCAAATCGGTTGGTTGACATAAAACCCCTCCGAATTGTGATGTCCACCTGCCCGGGTCCTTCATTCATATTCACACCCATACTGTGGATGGACGGAATCCTTCACCTGGCATTCACAGGGAAATTTATCATCATTCTAGGGTTTCCTAGGTGGTGCAGGATTTCGTCCATCCACAGTATCACTGGTTTTGGGCAAGTGTTTGCTGGCCAGTGCCATCGTGTTTTTCAACATAGGGTGCTGTCCAGGCTGAGTGGCTGAGCGCGGCGCGAGCGCGAACGCGGTTCGCAAGGGGCTTGAGTTCAGATGGGAAAAGTTGGAAATGTCAAATGGTTGTTCAAAGACTTCCGCTGACCCCCAGACCATACCCCCGAGAAGACATATATGACACTCCAGCCTTACTTAGGGCTTACTTGCCCCTTATTTACTCTGATGGTTGGCTTATCCTTAAGGGGTATGTTCCGGTCTGGTGATACAACCTCTGAGCTGTGCCTTATGTGTGGCCTTACGAAGCCGAAAGGCAAGCAACCTTCGCCTTCTTGCCAAGGGTCCCTGGGCGCACATGTCGACAGATTTACGTAGAACCTGGTTGGTTTGTTTGGGGTGTTCTCCCAAGTGATCCCCACATCTGAATTTCTCAACTATCTGAATCCTGGGCCCTCAAAAGACCAACTTACAAATGGCTTTCATTTGCTTAAGAATTGTTTTCCCCTGTTGGTTTTAAAAGGAATCTGTGCCTGCTGGAAATGCTTTTTCTAGGGGGCTTAAGCAAATTTAAGATGGGATATTGCAACCCAACATTATGGTTGGTGAGTAGTTTTTGCTTGTCCGGGAATGGCAACAGGGCTACCTGTTTTTTTGAGACATCGGTTCCAGGCGCCTTCCCGCCTGAAGGCTCGCCTAACTCGTATAATCTATGTCGCGAAAGCCGCCGCTTTCGGCGGCTCTCGGCTTTCGCGGGAATTGGCGCGAGCCAATTGGCGCGCGTGAGAGACACCGTGGCATCCCCAAGGTCAAAGGTGATGAAGTCTCGTCTCCACATGTGGGGTCTCCAAAACTCAAGTTGTTTTTGGGTAGACCAAATATGAAACATCATTTGATCGACTTTCTGTGTAGAGACCCCACGAATTTTGTTTGTCCATGTTTGCACAGGGTTGTTCAATTCAACCTGAAACACCCCCACCTCCTTGCTGGAATTGGGGGGGGGATTTCAACCCCTGGATATCTGCATTGCCTCCATGTTCACTATGGGGAAGACTAGATACTGTTCCAGGGGTACCTCCCCCATTCTTTTCATGGGATCCTTCTTTCTGGAAAACCCCCAGAAACCCAGGTTGAAAACGGATCAGGTTTTGGAGAAGCACGATGGTTGAAAAGAATGCTTACCTCTTAAAAACACAACTTTTCAACTTTTTGGGTAACATGGGCTATATGTCTGTAAAAGATTAACTTCTTGAGGGCTTGGAGTTTTTAAGGGGTAAGACATAATGGAAACGGAATCAACCCCTGGAACTGCACAAATTGAGGACACGGACCGAGTCCCAGCAGTCCCCCTGCCGCGTACTGAGGGACGTTGAAACATGAAGTTGGTTGACACTTTTGGGACTCAGCTGTGGCCACAGTCTGTAGAAGAACATGTGGGTCTGCATTTCTGAAAAATCCCCTGTTGGAAATTGTTTGCAAAGGAACCACCAGGAAAACCGTGGCGCTTTCGATTTGGGGGGGGTCCAAATCGTCAAACAAGTGACACCCATGCGCAACCAGGGTGTTTCGCTCTAATGGAGAAGGTTTCCCTGCTGTTCAAAGCCATCCGAATTGCACAAATCCGACCCATTTTGGGGGGCTCAAATCCACGTTGACGAGCCATACCCAAATGGGTGCTGTTCCTTTTGGGTTCGAAAACCGCAGAAAGGGGAATCAACTCCAAAGAAGACTAGCCACCCAAACGACGCAACGGTATTCCCTTGCTTTCCCCTGAAAACCCAACGGGGGTTCCCCAACTAGGTTTTCCAGTAGTGCCCTTTTACCCTTGTTTGGGGCGAGGGTTCTTCTGCTACAATAGACTAGGAAAAAAGGTACCCTTATTCTACCCTCTCTACTGGAGGACCTAGCCAAAAAAGGCAGACCAAGTAACCGGTCCCTGCAAAGTTCCTCAAGGAGCTCTCGCAAGCAGCGGTTTTGGGATGCGTCGGTCGCCGGAGTCTCCCAGCGACGGCTTCGGTCGGAAACGCGAGAGATTTCGCTGGTCGGAGAAATGGATCGCAGCGAGGATCCACGTGTCGTTTGGTTGTCCTTCGTCTTTGGGGGAGGGATCCCCTACTAAAATAGACTACAGAAAAAAGGGTACCCTTATTCTAAACTCTCTACTGGAGGACCTTGTGGGTGTGTCGCTTTTTTATGGTACCCTTCTGGGGGTTGTTCTAACGGGACACCGAAAGGAAAGCATTTATTCTCGGGGTTTCCTAAGAAAGGAAACATATAGCCCCCGAATAAGGCCGAACAGAGGGGGAATCCTATGACAAATCAATCCGCCAGGAGAACCACATGGAAACTGTTTTCGGACCTCAAGAGTATGTTTGAGGGCCTAAGATGCTTAGGGTACTATGCTTGGGTGCTAGGCCAAGTTAGTAGGTCGTTGACAACCATTCGGAAATCCCCCACCTAAACGTCACCCGTGAATGTGGGGTTAACCTTGACATTAGGAGGTTATATTGACCCAAGTGGCGTTTTCCATTTTCTGTCTTGGCGATTCGAAGATCCAAGTCTGAGATCCACTGGGCCTGGATATGGTAACTCGGGTCGACGAGAGGCTTCTGTTCCAGAGCAGCCGGGTTGGTGGTTCTAGGGCCTGTAAACCTTGAAGAAACCATCTTGGTACAGTGGATGCTTTGCCAGAGTGCAACACCCACAACAACCCATCGGATTTGTCTCACTTCCTGAGTTCATGAACTTTAACTTTGTGGGAAGACCATTTTAGTGGTAAATGTAAAGTTTGGACTTTTTTTGGGCCATCCACTCAGCCAGTGAGTTGTTTAATAAGGTTTGCAGCTGAATTGTTCCATTGCAGGAATTGGGGATTTGGTACAAACACCGTAGACCCAGGGTTTAACCCCCAATGAAAATAATGTTTGACCCAAGTTAGATGATGCCAACCCTTCCCATTCTTTTCAACCATCGTTCTTTTCAAAAACCGGATCTGTTTCCTCTGGGTGCTTGATGGTTTCCTGAAAAGATTCGGATCCCTGGGTTCAGAATGGAAATGGAAGGTACCCTAGATCAACAACCATTGGTGCGAACCCCTGCAGCCAAACGCCAGCTGGCCACCGGGCGAGCTGGGCGAAGTGAGTCAATCGCCAAATCGTCAGGCGCCGGGTGGTGTGGACATTTTGCTCTTCGTGCTCAAGAAGGTGCGGGCACAAGCAAGCAAGCCGTTGCTTGCAAGCAAGCCATCAGCTTCCATTTGCTTAAAACATTTATTATTATTATTATTATTATGTCTTCCCCGTCTTGGTTTTAAAGGGAATCTAACTGCTGCTTTTTGCCAGGGGGCTTAAGCAAATAGAAGTCAGAGAAAGTGAGCTATCGTCAAAGTCGACGAAATGTGAAGACGAATCAGAACCATTTGTTTGAACCCCGGATTCATAAGCCTCTGTTTTTGTGAATCGGGGGGTGTTCCCCTCCAACAGTAATGATTTGCCAGGCAACCCAGGGACATGCCCTCTTAATAAACTGGAAGGCCCCGATAAAAATGGGGTCAACATTTCTGTGTACCGATCCTTCTTGTGGGGCAGGTGTTGGACCTTGGTTCTTATGGAGGAACTTTGACCCCTGAGAAAAACACTTGGGTATGGGTCGACATTAAACCACCAGGAATTGGACCGCAAATTCTAGTCAACTTTTTCATTTACCAGGGGGTTACCCTATTTTTGACCGGCCAGACTCGATTTAGCAGAATAGGTTTCCTTGTGGTTCTGCGGATGGCCAAGTGGATCATTGACCTGTGCAGCTACATGGAACTGGCTACCTGCCATGCTGTGGATGGACGGAATCCATTTCGCACCACCTAAGAAACCCTAGTTTCTGATGATTTCCCTGTGAATGCCAAGAAACAATGGTTTTTCATTGTTCCATGGTGCGAAATGGATTTCGCAACATCCACAGTCGCTCGCCCGGGAGCCTTGGTAGCTTTGTGCTTGCACCCTAAGGGTCCCCAGACACCAATGCAGACCCCAGCGACCCTCCCATGGAGAACCCCGACCAATTCCTCAAGGGCGCTCAACAACCCATTTGGAGGGCCCAAAAACCGGGACCGTTCGGGCAGTACTGAAAAGAATACCTTTCACCTGAAGGTTGCGTTGGGTTTCTCTTTTTCTGCAAGGAGCGCATCACTGCCGCGGAGCAGGACAGTGTGTTGTGGGGGATCCCCATCGAAGTTGATACGTGTTGACCCCGGATTCAAGCAGAACCCGTCCTAAGGTCCTACTAATGGGTGGGTATGGGCTGCTCCCGATGTGGGGTCAAGCAGTTCTGCTCAAAAACAGGGTTCCCAATATGTTCCCAATACATTTCTTGACTGCTATTAGGTTGGATCTTCCACAAAAAGTTAAACTTTTGCAGGGGGGTCAGCAGCAAGCCAGATTTTGAGAGGTTCTCAAAGTGTGTGGGGTGTTTCAAATCCCACGGAGACCATGTGGAGGGCAAGTTTGATGTCAGATCCATGGGCCCATCCGATGTCCCAACAGGTTAACACAGATTCTTGGCCCCCTTTACACTCGTTTTCTTTGTCGCATTTTGCCAAGGATGTTATATAGGACTTGAACTGTTTAAGCCAACTAAGGGGTTTTCCGCATTAAACCACTACAAGTTGAGAACTTTTAGCAGGGCTTCGCAGAAAGCAACCGAGTTCTGTTTGGCACAAGATTGATTCGCATAGATTCGCATTCCATTTGCTGGAATGAATACTTGGTATTTTCCCTTGTGGCTGTGGCTCAAAACACCGGTGCCAAAATTGAACCCTGGTAAGTGGAAACATGGACCAAAACCTGGGTAACCCCTCCTGTTTAATTTTGAGCCGCACCCTTGTTGGTTCTGAAGGGAATTATCACTAGTGGAAATATGATTATCAGTTTCCTGGCGGCTTAAGAAAAGTTGAACGGCCTGGGAATTGGCGCTTCGACCATTTCGTGAGCACACTCTTTGACCCCAGCGGCGCACTCTGTTTGTTTTAGTTGTGGCAGGCGGCGCAAGCCCACCTAGATCAAGTAGTGTTGACCCCAGATTGATCAACCCCAGCTCTTTAATATGGCGGTTCCAAACCAAAAGTGATGATTCCCCACTCAACCCAGGGACCCCACCCGCTATGAATGAACTGGGATTGACTAATTTGGGGTCAACATTACCAGGGTGAATATCACTTTCCAAAGGTGTTCGGGCTTGATACTTGGGAAGACAAATGTGTGGTAGGCAAGCAGAATTCATTGTATCCAGTTACCTGTAGCAGGTAAGCAAGGGAACCACCCTTTAAAAACCAAGAGCACATTGGCTGGTCACCCACTATAGTGGCTTGGCTGGGATCCACTGGGGAATGTTCAGACATTTTTCCAACCGAGCATAACTTTTGAGCATACCTTTGCCACTGCTCTCATGAGGATCCCCTTCCATACTGTGGATGGACGAAATCCTGCACCAACTAAGAAACCCAACGGAATGAAACGATTCCCCTGCAAATACCAACATGCCATGCCCCCAAAAAAAAAAACACAGGAGGGGTCCCTGTGTTCAAAAGTGCTTACATTGTTCCATGGAAGTGAGGTGCCCTTTTCTTCACCCCCCCCCCCCGGAAAAAAAAAAAAAAAAATGGAAAACAAAAACGCACACAGAAGGGGTCCCTCGGATTTATTTAAGCCCAAGCCTCTCGACTTCCCTGTTGCGCACCTGGACTTTGGGGCGCGAAGTTGTCCTAATGTTTAAAGGAGAAGTTGGGATTTGGTACGTGTCAAAATGGCGAAGCTGGTTTAGGGATTACCGCTTTTCCTCCGGAATCTATGGGGAGGATCCACTAACACCGACCCCACTGCCTAACCAGCACAGGACAAAATGGGCGGCTGGTCGTTTTTCATTTTACCCCCCTGTTGGTTGGTGTTAAAGGGAGACCCAAAGTTGAAAACCATTGCGCCAGTTTGGGGGTCCAAACTGGAGCGCTACAAGCCTCGCGTTCCGAAAAGGGTCTCCTTTGAACCTAATGCTACCAACTCAAGACACGTATGGCTGTGGGTCAATGGTACCATTTTGGGCGAGGTGCACCACCCATTTTTGTCTATTTTAGTGGGGATTGGGATGTGCACTGGGGGTACACGATTTTGACCCATGGCCATTTGGTCTTGTGCTGGGCCCCTCCCGATTTCTGGTCGTTCAAACGGGGAAACCATGAGGAAGCCCATGCTAAAGGGGCACCGATTTGAGAGGAAGGAAACCTCGGCTGACTTGTCCAAACCCAAACTTTCAACGCCGAAGCTTCGGTTTGATTTCTCCAGGACTTACCCCACCAGCCAACATGGGTTTGTGCACAGACCCCTGTAGACAGACGACTTTCCTCTTGGGAAGGCCTTTTTTGGCACTAGGCACTTCCATGCTAGTTGGTGGGAGGGTACTGGTTTCACAGCTCAAGGATTGTGTTACGAAATCGATTTGTTGATTTCAGGAGACCTTGGCTTACGTCACTCAGCTCCTCTTCGGGCCCGAGTGCCTGCCAGGATCCAAAGAACAGATCACCCAAGCGGGTGATTCCATGGGGCAACCTTCCATTTGCCTAGGAAGAAGCGAACAAAAACAAAACACGCAATTTCCTGCTGGGTTTTTTCGAGGGTTTCCTGATTTCGCTGCTGCTTGTTTTTTTCCTGGTGACGAAAAAGCAAACGGAGGTAGTGATTTGGAAGCCAAAACACAACACCAAAACATTGAGTGGCGTGCGCGCCCCTGTGTTCAACTTCATTTAGAGGGGGGGTTCCCTTCAAAATCAGCCACCAAAAAGGCATGCTTTCTCTTTTTTTTGTTGGAAGGGGTTTCCCGAACTAAAATCAACAACTCTCCACCTTTTTTACATAGAACCTGACGTTCATGGGTTCCTGGAAAATAATGCTCCTCGAAAAGAGACCCCCTGTCAGGTCTAAAAAAGGTGGGAGGGGAACAACAAGAAGATTGCGTTTCGGTTTTTTCTCCCATGGCGCCTGTGGGTCTGGGAAAGCGCTAAGGCTGTAAGGCTTGTTGTTTGAGGCTTGTGGGAACCATTCTCAAAAACTACCAGGACAAAATATGCAAGGGAGACCTAATATACTGGCGCGTCTGCGGTTGGTCAGCTCGAGTCTAAGCTTGCTTCATTTAACTTGGGGTGTATTTGTCATATGGCCATGGGTCAAAATCCCGTACCCCCAGTGAACATCCCAATCCCTGTTTCCCCTTTGCTTGAAAGGAGGACTCAGAGGGACCCCGAACAATCCATTCTCGGGGCACCGAACTCGTTTTGGCGCATGCCCGCTGGGGAGGGCTTCAAATCTAAGACACAAGGCGCATCCATGTTGCTTAACATGTTTATTTGTTGTTTGCTTAAAGACAACCATAGAACAGAAACAAGTCTTTGAAACAAATCCGTGGTGGGCTTCAAAGAGAATCTATCACTGGACATATGTTTGTTTTTGCTTTTTGCAACGGGGGCCACCGGTGGGCTGAAGCAAATGCCGGGAGGCGACATAGGAGGCATGATTCAAATTACCCGATGGGTCCGGGAGCTCCATCTGGGGGTCCGGGAGCTCACAAAAAGTCCCCCACGAACCCATGGGAGCGGTGGTTCGGGAGCGCAAGCAACGTTTGAGAACCAAAAGAATTCGGCAAGGGAATCAAGTTGAGCATTTGTTTTCAGGGTGCTGACAGCCAGTGCAGGAGCAACTGACAATGCTCGTAGCATGTACTGGTGGGGAGGACGTGTCCGCGAAGAAAACCTATGAGTTTGACACTTTTCTAGGGGTACCTTACCTTCCATTTCCATTCTTTCCAGGGATCCTTCTTTCTAGACAACCTCCGGAAGCCCAGGTTGAAAACGGATCCGGTTTTTGGAAAGAACGCTGGTTAAAAAGAATGGACTTGGAATCGACCCCTAGAACTCTCAAGGGTTATCCAGAGCGAGTCCCTTCGGTGGCCAAAACCTCCTTGATGTTTTTCCCCACCCGACAGGAGGGGGTTGTTAGATTTTGTGTTGGAATCCGTGTGGGTGGGTGGGCATTGCTCGAAGCGAAGGAATTTTTCTTTTGCGGGGCAGAAAGGCACTGGAAGCCGACGCAGAGGGACACACCCCGGTGCTTAAAGCATCAAAGGAGCAGCCCGACTGCGGGGGTTTTGCCGCTGTCATGGGATTATGTGCAGCCCTCAAAACGCGCGGACAAGAGGACCCCCCGTGTTTGTTTCTTCAACACCTAGGCCGAACCTCTACATGGTTGTCACCCACGCAGGACGCGCGGAGCTCAGGTAAAAGAACTTGCTGGCGCTCAGTAGGCAATGTGGTTGAATGAACCAGGTCGTGGTCCCCTTAAAGGAAGCCACCAGTTGGATGGTTTATAAGGGGCATTTCTCATTCCCTGCATCTCTCGCACCGATCGCAAGAGAAGTGTTTTTTCCCTTTGTTTCACCATGGCGAATGAAGATCAACTGCATACCTGTAGCGTCTGTTGAACCCATGGCAACGACCCATTTCCCGCTAACTTCCATTGGCTGAAACGAACATTTGTGTGATTCTCCCTTGTTGGTTTTCAAGGGAATCGATTTCACTACTGGAAATGTCTTTGTTCTTTCCAGGGGGCTTCAGCAAATGTAAGGTAATCTCCCTTGTGCGCTAAGTATACTTGCTGGATAATGGACCCCTGATTAGTATGGTCCTCAGCCGCATCGTGAGGAATGCTTTGGACCATTCCCTCTAGTAGACACCCTTTGAAACGATGCTAGAACCCCGTTAAAAGGTTTTTCCCGTTAAAAGGGGCATTGTCCAAACGAATCGTCGCCATGTCTTGGGAACCCTTGCCCCAAGCATTTGATTAGGGACCCCACATCGGAGTGGCCTCCATTGGAAGGGGTTGGGGACCTTCAAAAAGGGCCCTGAAATGAGGTACCTAGGTCCCCCAGTAGTGGCCTTTTACCCCTGTTTTTGGGGAGGTCGGGACCCTACTAAAATAGACTGCAGACAAAAGTTACGGTACCCTTATTCTAACCTCCAAAGCTGGAGGACCTAGGTGGGAACACTGTTTGACACTCCCCTTGTTTGCCGCGTCCATTCCAGTTGTTCGACGTCCCAAAATTCCGGTCAACGCGGCCGGACTTGTTGAGCAAAGCTCCAGGCTTGGCGCGGGACGCTGAGTGCCGCGAGCAGTGGCTGCAGGAACAGGCGAGAAATTTGAGAGAGTCATACAGTGGATGGTTGCGAAATCCATTTCGCACCACTTGGATACCATGGGACCAGCATCTTTTTGCTGGTATTTACAGGGGAATGATCATTCTAGGGTTTAATAGGTGGTTCGCAATGGATTCCGTCCATCCACAGTAGGTGTCCTTTTTTGGTTGGCTTGGTAAAGAAGAGATGGCCCTGAACTTACCTGTCGGTTTATTTACGAGGGCCATTTGTTTCCAAGAAAGCCAACCACAAAGGAAACCTATGCTCATATCCACCCAGATTAATAAACCCCTGGTTGATTTTGATCGGGGGGTGTCCCCTTCTAGCAGAGCAGGGCTTCAGACCACTTTTGGAGGGACCACCCCCAATTAATAGGACGGGTTTGCTAATCCGGGGTACTCAGGTCAGAGGTATCCAGACAAAAAATGGCACTCTTCCATGTGCATGTTCCCTTTGGCTTGTGTGAGCTTTGCCAAGTCTTTCTTGTTCTGTTTTGAAGACTTCCCAGCATGTTCCCGTTGACCAGCTAAAGGGTACAGTTGGGTGAACGTAGATCCCCGCTATACTTACCCAGGGATGTGTGCCATCTTCTTTTACTCGGGTGTACAAGAACTGACTGTGATGAAGAGGCTGTTGTTCAATCTTTGGCACACCTGGTTGATGTCCTTGTGGTTTCACACCACAAAAGAGGTGCCCAGCCACTCGTTCGGAAGCTAGGTCCCCCAGTAATGCCCTTTTACCCTGTTGTGGGGGAGGGTTCCCCTACTACAATAGACTACCGAAAAAATCGGGCACCCTTATTCCAACCGTGTGTCAATCCGAAAGGAAGCGAAGCAGGTGGCGCTGAGTGCCCACTTCGGGGCCATGGTCGCGCATTTGGGGGCGCAGCCGCTGTCGCGGCTGCTCTTCGTGGATAACATGGACCCGAAGGAGGACCGGGAGATATGGCTGTGGGTCAAAACCAATAGCACCATTTTGGGGTATCACCCATTTTAGTCTATTTTAGTGGGGATTGGGATGCACACTGGTGGGTTGGGTTGGTTGGGTTGGGTGGGTTGGGGGATTGGGTGAGGTGGTGAGTTGGGTTGGGTTGGGTGGGTTGGTTGGGGGGGGGGGGGTTGGATTGGGTGGGGGGTCGAAGGAGGACTGGGAGATAATGTGGATGGACGAAATCCATTTCGCACCACTTTGGAACCATATCCACAGTACGAAAGAGGTTGAGCTTCGGTGTGGGGTGGGGTTGGGTGGGGTTGGGTGGGGTTGGGTGGGGTTGGGGTGGGTGGTTGGGGTGGGTTGGGGTTGGGGTTGGGGTTGGGGGTGGGTGTGTTGGGTTGGGTGGGTTGGGTGGGGTGGGTGGGGTGGGGCTTTTGTTGACCTTAAAAGGGATGAGAGGGGTTGGGGGAGAAAGTGGTAGATGGGTTGGGGATCTGCTCACATGTGTAGGCTACACTTCAAAACTGGAGGCTTCGAACTCGGTTTTCAGGTACCCGAAGTGTCAAAAGAAGGAAAGGCTTAAATTGGGGTATACCCTGAACTCACTTCCGCAGATCGGATGTCAAACTCTTTGCGAAGGTCAGGCAAACAGTCTGGCCTTGTTTTTGACCAACTTGGGAAGTGAGTTGAGGGTACGCCTGAAACCCATAGCAAAAACTTGGTTGCCCTGACTAAAACCTGCTAATCTCATGTAAACACACAATTTCTTATCCAGCCATTTCTGTGTGTTTGTCTTTTTTTAGGGGACCCTCAAACATGCATGGTGGGTTTCCTTTCGGTTGTCCTTGAACACCACAACAAGGGGGGGTACAAACTCCAAAAACAGACACGACACTTTTGTTTCGCTTGTTGCAGGTCGAAGGCCGACCCAGAAGTAAGCGAGAAGTGTCGAGTTGATCCAAGTTGCTCCCTTGAGATAGTTCCCTCAGGTACTATACTGGTTCGCCTAGGATCTTAAGCTTGTCTGCAGCCGAAAATACCTGATTAACAACACAACCGCGTAACATCCAAACTGTGAAAGCGTCACAACTTACTTCCTGAGTTCCGTTTCGGGCTGTAGTCACTTTTTGGGTCTGGCCTATTTGCGTGGCAAAACAACCGGTTGGTTACTTTTATCGGCAAATCCTTTTTTTCTCATAGGCTCCTGCAGCTTTCAATGGATGACCCATACCCCTCCATCAAACACCCCAGAGGTCTGTGGGGGTCTCAAAACCTGGCTTTTGAGGCCCCAAATCAATCGAATTGGAGCCAGGAAGTGAGACGACGCCCCTGGAAGTTCTGGAAAACCCAAGCCCAAAAACCTCGGAGCTGGGCCCCAAAGCTTGAGACTCTCGCGAAACGGGGGCTGGAGGGTTCGGGTTCTCCATCGGAGGGTCCCTTATCTTCCGCAGAATTAGCTCCCCTTTGTTTTTTTTGTTTGTTTCTTTTTTTTGGGTTGGTCCCCTTTGATTTCCACTCACCAGGCATGTTTTTTGTTTGGCTGGGGTCCGATTTTTCCAGCCTAGGTATGGGGTCTGCATTGGGGTCCGGGGAATTTTAGGGTAAGGGGGTTTCACAAAAGACGATCAGTTTTTTTTTTTTTAAAAAAAAAAAATGCGTCCCATCTTTGGCGCAGGCAGAAGAGGAGGAGCGGCAGCTGGTAGAGAAGCGGCGGCATAGGGCGCTGCAGGACGGCCGCTGCGGAGATTCGAAGGCAGTTCGCGTTTGCGGATTGACGTCCATTTGCTTAAGAATATTTGTTGTTTCTTTCCTCTTGGTTTTAAATGGAATCGATTTCACTACTGGAAATATGTTTTCATGTTTCCACGGGGCTTAGCAAATGAAAGTTGACCAAAACGTTTTGAACCAACACGCGTGACCCACAGGAAAACCAGCCAAAGGGATGCCTTGCCCACAAAATGGGAAAAGTTAGCCATGGTCAGGTGAGAGAGTTTGGGATCAGACACTAACATTGTGGGCTGCCGGTTTTGTTTTTCGATTTGCACCTCCCAAATTGCCTTAAGATTGTGGTTGCCCTTTTGATGTCTCTTCAAAACCTGCCAAACAAGGGGCACCCTCATAAAAGACACACCCATGCATGTGGGGTCCTCAGATCTCAAACTCACCTGTCCAAAGCCGAGCTTTCAACCTTTGGCTATCCTTTATTTTGTTTAACTTCAAGGTTCCAAAAGGTGAACCTTTTAGCTTTAGGCTCTTTGGGCAAGTGAGCAAAACTATTTTATATTATGGGGGGGGTTTGGCTAGAATCTGGAACATCAGGAGAAACAAGCAGCCGTGTATCCCAGATGCGGGCCAAGATATGGGCGTGTCGGGGCCCATCAGAATCAGCTAGTTTTCCTTTGCCATTCAAACAAATGCTGCAATTCACGGGGATGACATGGCCTCAGCATGTTAGCAAGTGCGGATTTAGGGTTGGGCCCAGAAACTGGTGAGACACCTGTTGGGTGTTCAACCGACGTCAGGCAAGTAGGTTACCCTGGTAAGGGTCCTGGCGATCACCCAAGCTATCGACAAAACCATGCTTGCAACCGGGCTAAGTTGGGTGGTTGCACGTAGTCGGGATACCATGGCTTCACCTTAGATGAAGCCCATCCTATTGATTGGTTTTGGTGTTTCCGCCCTTCCAAAACCGATCTTTTGATCTGTTGGTGTTCCCATGTCCGTGAATATTCACCAAAGAACTTGGGAAGGTGAGCATCCTACTGTGGATGGTGAGCATCCTATATATTCATAGAAGGTGACTTTTGGTGTTCCCATGTCTGTGAATATTTAGTCAAGGTCCCTTTAGTCGGACTTGGTCTTCCCTGGTGGTCCCAGGTGAACCTTTTATTTCCAAGTCCTTTGGGCCAGTGAGCCCTGAATCAACCAGGGGTCTTTTGTCTTTGCGACTCGCTCAGTGCAACTAAGTGCGCGGCGTTTTCTTGTTACGGGGGTCAGGAACCAAACGCTTTTTCCCGAGTGCTGACAAGTGTCCTTCTGGGTTTGGCTAGAAATAGATGGGTTCCCACTGGTGCTTGGTTTTATGCCATTCCATTCCCGAAGCCCATCAATCTTGCACAAAGGACACCTATGGTCAGAGGCCTCGAACAATATTTCCCGAGTTCCGTTTCGGACCTCATCATCACTTGTGAAGTGATCCGCGATTGTGGAACGGCGATCCATGACATCAAGTGGAGCGTTTGCCGGTGCGTGGTCGAGCCCAGCTACGTTCTGGCCTTTACCCCCATTGTTCTCAACCAGATTCATCCCGGCCACTTACCCCTCCGGATGAGAAAAAGGTCCTGGCTCTGAGCTCGTTGGCCTTGACCTGAGGGAAAGCGGAGAGATGTGGCACCGAGAAGTTGTCCATATGGCTGTGGTTGTCAAAACCGTTTTGGGATCCAAAATTTTGGGGGAGTGGTGCACCACCCATTTTAGAACCTATTTTAGTGGGGGATTGGGGTGTTCACCCGGGGGTGCGGGATTTTGACCCATGGCCATAGCCTCTCAGGTGCTTTTCCCCATCGGAGCGGTTTTCCAACGGATTCACTTAAATGTTGTTCTGTAAATGAAGGGCACAGAGCCTTTGTTTCAGGGGGAATCTCAGAAAAGAACCCTTCTCCTCCTCCATTTTTACTATGTATGTGTCAATTTTTATTTAGATTGTTTTCGCCCGGTTTTTTATTGGAGGGAATCTAGCACTGCTGGAAATGTTTTTTTTCTCCAGGGGTCTTAAGCGAGCGAACCTCACAATGATTCAGGAAAGTACTGCTTACGTGCAGCGAAACCTCGCGTGATGTTTGTGTTCAGCCTCCGCAAACTCTTTTCTCTACTTGCCAAAAGCAAATCGACCGGATCTGCCCTTTCATCCCTGGTCATGGCCCCCAAAAGGTGACCGCCTTCTATTTCTGGGTCCCTAAAAGGCAACTGAGTTTTAGAGTTGGCTTCAAGAGAAACCAAAAGGAGCACCACTATGTCCGGTTTTTCCGAAATTTTGGCATACCCAGTCAACCATCGACCTTTTGGACTTTGCGCAGCGCGGCATTTCTATTCTCGCAGCTGCCGAACAGCCTGTCACTTTTTTTTTTGGGGGGGGGAGGAGGGGGTTGCTCCAGGGAGTGGTTTTCATTAATTTGGGTATGGCTCAAAACTAAACTATGAGGGGACCGCAGGTTTTAGTCCATGTTTCCATTTACCAGGGTTCCATTTTGGGTACCTTTGTTGACCCACAGCCATTTGGGGGGTTATCAAGCTCATTTCCCGAGTTCCGCTTCGGACGTTGGCCAGCAGAAAGCTTGGACTTTTTTCTGCCAGTCCAGGCGCCAGTTTTCGTTCAACCCAGCGGCTGGGGCTTTCAACGGAAGTCTGTGGGACATGCCGGCAGTGTTTGGGGGTCTCAAAAAAAAGCTATGGCTCAAAAAACCGGAATTCCAAAATGGGTTGCCCTGGTAAGTGGAAACATGGACCAACACCTGCGGTTTGCCCCTCCCGTTTAATTTTGAGCCACAGCCACCTGGCTATTTCTGGGTAGTTTGTTTTCAGCCAACTCCCCTCAACAACTGTCTTTTCCCAACTCCAAAAGCTCAAATACTGTCCAAAAAGCAGTGGGGATGGCTGCTGGAAGGTTTAAGCATGTTTGTTTTCCAGTGTTGTTTTTCTACTGAAGGTTCCAACAGACAAACCTTTAATGTCCAGGTCTCTTGGCGCATAGATGAGTTCTCGTTAGGACATCTACGCCTTGCTGCGCAGACACCGTGCTCCTCCCTTCAGGCTGTGAACTGCTGGCCTTAATCCGATTTTTGCCGGATGAAGAAACCCCTGCCCCTTTTTAGTGGAACTCCCCCACTTCTGTGGGTGACGCTCCCCTAGGTGTATTTTGATCCTGGGTTCCCGTTCCTTAAGCTACAAGGAGGAACTCTTCTTTGAGGGGGTCTCACATGACTTAAGTGAAAGCTGCGCGTCTTTAAACAGCGGGCTGGTTGTTCCTTGAGTTTCCGTTCAAAACCACGCAACATTGGTGCCCTCAAAAAATCAGAGACGGCCTTAGTTAGAGCCCTGCTCATGAACACCTGTCGCCACCCAGCAAGGGGATGGGGGAGGTCCGTCCGGGTGGATTTGTTTTTCTTTCGTGGACACTAACTCACTTCCTAAGTTCCTGAACTTGATACCTGTTGAGAAAACCATGGTAGCTGCAAGCAACAACTTTTGGATCTTTATCTGGCCACCTGACGAAAGTGAGATAATTCCTGCGTTCGCCCACCCCGGCGCGGTTGACATGTTCACAAGTAGAGCTGGTTGCGACTAGAGATTTGTGCGGAGATCTGGGGAAGGCGTACCGGGTTGCCTCCAAAGAATGACACTCACGTGTCTCTTGCCAGTGCATGGCTTTATCATAAGGGTTTTGACTGAATTGTGCCAGAGCTTTCTCCTTTGCAGGCTGGAGACAAGGCCCTGTTTGGGTTTCCAGTTTGGGCCTGTTTTCTGGTACAGGTTCTCCCGGTTCGAAGGATGTAAACATCACACGTTGTGCCAAGCCACAATGGCGTTCCCGTTGGTGGGGTGATGTATAAGCAGGACATGCTTGGCTCTAAGCATAGTTCAAAGAAAGACGACATACTTCCATCTGCTGAAGTGTGTTTTTTTTTATTTTATTTTTCTTTTGTTGTATTATTAGTTGTCTCTCTTGGTTTTAAAAGGGCACCTATCGTCACTACTGGAAATATATATTTTTTTTTTTCCAGGGGGCTTAGTCAGATGGAATCATGTGAAACAGAGTGAGACATGTTCCGTGTACCCCTTTGTGGGCCAAGATATGGGGTGCGTCTTTTCTAGGATTCAAACCCTAAACCAGAAATAACGGTTGTCCTTGTTGTTTCCCTTAAAACAAAAAAGTGAAAAAAGAAAGAGGAGCTACCAACTCCAAAAACAGGAGCCGCCTTGGCAGGCAAGTTGCCAGGTTAGTGGTTATGTGGGTGACAACCGCACAAGGTTAACCCCACTGAACGGGGACTTCTAAGTGATTATAACCCAGGTTACCAACAACCTGGACCTTCGTCCTCCTGAAAAAAGGAGGTAGAATCCGCCGTTGACTGGATATTCAGGAAATATTATCTGTTTTTTTCCGCAAAACCTGAAACTCCTAAGCCTCATAAAAAGGCACTGTTGCAATGCTCGAAGCCTTGGACAGATTACAGGAAGCTTTGCAGGGGTCAACGACTGAATGCAGTCCGCAAGCTGGTCAAAACATGCACCGGCGATCCAAAGTTGTGCAGTGCAGAAAAAAACGTACCCATTTTGACCGCAAAACACCCGCACATTTCGGCAAATCTTCCGCAAAAACCCGCAAACTCCCGCAAATCAGAAACCGTCGTAGTTTTGCTGATCAAGGCATCTAATGGGTTCGCTGGCACATTGGCAAGTGCTGCGAGGTGTATTGATTTTGTATGGCCAATGCACGACTGGAAACGACGCAATTCGTTTGCGTTTATGCCCAAATTGTAGCCAAACCACTGGAATTCTGTAAATTGTAGGGGTCTGCTAAAACACCCGTAAATTTCCCGAATTTGAAGGCCCAGGAAGTTGCTAACTTGGGCCCGAAGTGGAAATGGGTTGCTTCCTTTTGGCTTTTTTTTAAGAGCTCTCCGACAGAGTGACCATGTTGAGGAACCCACCCCCCTTGTTCCCTAAGTTACCAGACTTAGCTTACTTCTCTGACTTGTTGCAACCATCTTGGTTTCCACCAGTTTCCCCTGGAAAAAGAGCTAAAAACCCGCGTTTTCGGCGGGTCTGCCACACCGGGGCCCGTCTCGTTTTTTTTTTTTTCTTCGGGGTTCGCTTCGGGTTCGCGTCCGCGACCCATGGCTCATGATGCTGCGTCGCAGGCACAGCATCATGCGTCGGGCAGGGGAGCTTCAGGCGTGGCGGAAATTTTGTTGGGGGATTCCTTACCTTTGGTGCATTTTGCTGGGATGTTAAGGCTTAATTTAACTTTTTGCCAGCTAATGGGTTTTCCATCAAACACCTAAAAGTTGAGAACTTTTAGCAGGGGAGGAGAAAGCAATCGAGTTACCATGGTTGTTGTTGGGAAACCTTTTTTACATGTTTGCTTGTTGTCCAGGTCCCCAGTAGTGCCCTTTATCCAACCCGTTTGGGGGAGAGTTTCCCTACTAACATAGACTACAGAAAAAAGTTGGTCCCCTTATCCAAACCTCTCTACTGGAGGACCTGGTTATTGTTGGGATTTTTTTAAAAGCAGTTTTTGCTTGTTGGGGTTTAGCGGTTGGCCACTGGGCAACTGAGCCGAAATAAATCGCTTGTGGTTTCCTTTAAGGGGACCAAAGCCTGGGTTCCTTCCCAAATGCCCTACTGAGCACCAGCAAGTCACTTCCGGAATGTGTTTTTTTGCCCCAGAAAGATGATCGAACCAATTCCGAGAGGAATGCCTCTGTCCCAATCCCTGGTTTTGCCGAAAATTGTTGGTGGTCTGCATGTTCGCTGGGCAAGCACCCAGAGCTATGTTGGCAAATCGGATACATATGGCTATGAATTTAAATAGAGAACCCCCTAAACGGTGGTTGGTGGGCACAAATCCCCTACCTAGATGATGTGCACCAAATTCCTAATTAAGACTCATACCCATCTCGCAAGTATGGGAACAAGGACGAGGGGTGCAAAGCTCTAGCTCGGGCCAGTTGAGCCGAGGAAGCGGTTCCCAGAAGAGTTCGCATGGGAGGTCAGGCAAGCGCGCAGATTCGCAGATATTGGGCAAGATGACGCAGCATACACTGACTTTGTCCAAAGCTTCAAAGCAGAAGACATGTCGACCAAAGCCAAAAGGTCAGCTCCGGTTCCTGAATGTCCCGTGGTTTACCATGGTTTTCTGGCTGAGTATGGCTAGTTTACTTGCCTTACTTGCAATAGCGAGGGCATCCATATGGAGTGGGATTGGTCGTTCTGTGTAGGCCCTGCGAATGGTTCAACGATTGGTGCCATTTTTTTTCTTTGCCCTGTATGAGCATCATGATGGTATAGAAGATATAAACTACAGGTTCCGGGTCCTAGGGCGTGGTAGGAACAAATGCAAATTCCATGGTTGGGATTGAACGTTAGCCCAAAGAGCGCTTAGATGGCCTGGGAGCACCCCCCCCAATTCCCCAGTTACTCCAGTAAACCCTTCGAAGTAGGGTTACCTGCAAGTTCGCGATTCCTGCCGGACCACCCGTGGCCTGTTTGCCCTGGAAGCACCAGGCCATTTGAGTTTTTGAGTTTTTTTCGTGTTCCAACCGTTTTGGGCGTGTCCCTTGTTAAGGGGGATCTCCAAAACAGTGGTTGTCCCTTTGGTTTCCACTCAAATCCACTACAAAAAGCGGCACCTTCAAAAATTGACGGACCCTTTTGGTTTCGGGTTTTTGCGGGTGACCGTTACACGCCCCTCCTTCTTGGGGCCCCCTCCTCTCACTTCCTGAGTTCATGAACTTCAAACTTTTTTGGGAAGGACCATTTTAGTGGCAAACATAAGGTTTGGACATTCTTTGGGCCATCTCAGCTAGTGAGTCCTTCTTTTTTGCCCAAAGCTTCCACGGATCTGCCGGTCGTTTCGGTCTCGCAGGCCGCCCACCTGGAGTCCATTCGGAAGGACCTGAAGGCCAGGATCGAGGCGCGAGCGCGCAGAGCTTTCCGGATCCGGTCTGCGGCCGTTTTGGGCGCAGAAGCCTTGACTGCTATTTTAGTAGGGATCTTCAGTGGGGAAAAATCCAACTTGATTTCCCGAAAAGTTAAAGTTTTAGTGGAAACTCCAACTTGATGTCAACCGAAAGTTAAAAAGTCTAAAGACCCAGCCAAAATTGGCTATTGGGTTGGATCTTTAGACTTTTTGTTTTTTGAACTTTTTTGTTGAAATCAAGTTGGATTTTCTGTACGAAACCCCCCAAAAGTTTAAACATTTTGGCAGGGGGTCAACAGCAACCAAGAAGTCTGCCTATGGCGAGCTCACCGATTCGCGGGTATAGCGAGCTCACCATGATGAAGGTCCTTTGCTGGGGTGTCCAATGCTTAATTCAGCTTTTAGCAGGGTACAGATTGTGGATACAAGGGTTTTCCAAGATACACCCTGGGATTACGCCCTCGGAATCACCCTATTTCAGTATTTCAGGTTCTGTGTTTGGGACAATTTGCGGCAACTTTCCTGGGATGTAATGGCCCTGTAATGGGGGGGGGGGGGGGGGGGGCTTGGGGGGCGCAACCCAGGATAGGTTTGAATTGGTCTGGGGATGTGAACCTCAGTACCTTTTGAAACCAAATAGGCTAATGGCTGTGTTATTGCTACAAACCGGGTTTCAAAGGTTTGACACAACTAGGTCCCTAATTCAGGTGAGGACATTCTATTGTGTCCCAGAATTGGAACTTGGGTCCTCAAAGTGCAAGCCTTTGTCCTTTTGGTTTTCCCTCTAACGACAGCCAAAAAGGCATTCCCCAGAAAAAGGACATACCCACATGGGCGGGCTCAAAATTAAACAGGAGGGGTTACGCAGGTTTTGGTCCATGTTTCCACTTACCAGGATTCCATTTTGGGTACCGGTTTTTTGAGCCACAGCCATATATACTTGAGTGTCCCGAGAGTTTCCGGATTCCAATTGTGATTGATTGCTTCGGTGCTACTCAGTTTAAAGGCTGTTCCGCGGGGTCTTTCCACCAACCCAAGTCAACCCGTGTTTGGCTGTACATGTGCTTACATATACATATATATATATATACATAACTTATATATAGATACATTTATCAGACACGCACCTCTAAAACGAGATAACACTACACACTGGGTCTGTCCCAAAGGCCCCATTCGACTGGGTAGGTTCCTCTTTTCCGGTTTCCCGCAAGTTTCTGCGCGAGGCCGAGCTTCGGAAGGAGCTGGACAAGGAAGGGGAGACCCCATGGCCGTGGATTAATCAAGTTAGGTCCTTCCATTTGCAATGGGCCGCACCTGGCGGTTTGAGTGTCACGTTCTTTAGGGGGTCAGTATGTTGGCGCAGTTTCTTGGGAGGACCACAGCTTCCATTTGCTGAAGTATGTTTTATTTTCCTTGTTGGTTTTAAGGGAGATCGATCACTACTGGACAAAGATGTTTGACTTTAAATTCCACTGGACAGTTGCAACCATGGTTCATAGAATCCGGCAGGACATTCTACGGAAGCTGGATTTTCTAAATTCCCGCCAAGAAGACATTTCCTGTAGAATGACCTGTGCCGTTGCAAGCATCACTCTCTGAGTGCTGGGCTTTTATCAGTTCTTGGGTTGGGTGGCAAGCAAGTTTGGACCTTTGGCCAGGAAGTGAGCGGTTATGACTGGGTTAAATTGGGCTGAGTCCCCTGAACAGGGTTATCACCTACTTGCCTGACTTTGGTTGAGCATCCAAGTGCTCATTGCTTGCTGCACTGAACGGGCCCATTCTTTTCAACCATCGTTCTCTTCGAAAGCCAGCCGTTTTCCCCGGGTTTCTGGAGGTTTTCTAGAAAGAAGGATGCCTGGAAAGAATGGGGGAGGCCCCCCTAGAATATCTCCTTTGGTTCCTCTCAGTGTTAGAAACCTTGAGGTACCCGTGGTCGAAAGCCCTTCTCACCGGATGCTCCCGGCCTGTAAGAGTTTAGACAGGGATTCGGGGTATCAGGGCGGGCCATGGTGAGAGAATGCTGGGTATCCTTATTTGGGTACGGGTCAAAATTAAACCACCAGGGCACCGCAGTTCTTTTAGTCCTTGGTTCCATTTGCCAGGGCTCCATTTAGGGTACCGGGTACCTATTATTGACCCGCCATTTATCCTCACGCCTCATCATGGGGGCTGGGGGGGAGGGAGGGGGAGGGGGAGGGAGCCCAAATAAGCCCTTCTTAAGCCCTTATTTGGGCCTTATTTGGGCTCCCTCCCTCCCCCCCAGCCCCCATGACCTTATATTGCTGGCCCAAGCCTGCTGCTTTTCCCGCTCCTTTCGGTTTACTTTCCGGGTGCTCATTCGTGAACACCTTTTAGTCCCGGAGCCTCAAAGGGAGATGAACAGACCCGTGGCCTCATGGCAAGACTATGGCCCCAAGACGTCTGGATGGATTTTGGGCCCCTCAAGATGGGTTGTTTTATGTTGTTTTTGAGGGCCAACTTGAGGAATTGGTGTTCTGCATTGGAGCATGACCCTTCGAAAGGGGGGGGGGGGTGAAATTGCTGATTTTTAAGGGCAGCTTGAGGGTCACGGGAGCCTTTCAACCATCTCAATCTGCAGGTTGCCCAGTGCAACAAGACTCTTTCGCGGGTATTGTTTGCCTTTGGGTCAGGTGATATGATTCCCTTTGTGGCAAGTGGGGGCTAAGCCAACGATTGGAATTGAATTCGCTATCTTTCAGCCAACTAAAGCACTAGGTTGGGAAACGGAGGGAAGGTAGCTTACAGGGAAACCAATGGGAAGACGACACTGTTGCCGGGTTCCAAACGAACACTAGCTCATGTTCTAGGGCAGACGAAATATGAAACAGGTAGACGAACAGAAACATGCCAGATGACGGCTACAAGTTTCGCGGGTTTCCGGATTCGGACACGTCAAATTCACCGCTTGGCGGGTCGGTTGAGGATCGAGGAGACTTGGAGGCTGAAAGGCGGCGACTCCAGGATGAGGCGACGTCGAAACCTCTCGAGAGCTCCTGGACTCTTGAAACTACTTCAGTGGTGCGACCACATTATTTTGACTGTCTCTGTGTTATCAACGTCAGACATTGGCCGGCTCTTTCCCTTGAACCTACCACCTATATAGGGCTAGGCACCTCAACTGATGTTTTGGTGTTGTCAAGTGGTCAAAGAGACCTTCATCATTCCTATGTCGGTTCTCGTGGCAAATCCAAATAGCAACCTCGCAAAGGGTCGTAGTTTGCAACCTGAAGAAATGTCCTTATTCTGAGACTAGGTCCCCCAGCTAGGTGCCCTTCCTGATAAACTTTTTTGGGGGAGGGGTCCCCCCTAGACTTGCTGGGAAGACGAAAATCTCGCGACGGCACACAGTGCGGCAAACCGAAGGAAGTGAGAAAAAGTAGGGGGAAAATGGTCCCAGATCCCAGCAACCCCTTTTTCTCCTCACCCCCTGAGTTCATGGGTTTTTGTTTGTTGCTTGGAAAGACCAAGCGGCAAAGAGTTCAACTTTGTTTTTTTGTTTGGCCAATCCACTCGATCGGAAGTGAATATCGGGAAACCAGCAATTTGGTTCTTGGCTTTTGAAGTGTGGTTCCCTTGGTTGCCAACTACTAGGGAAATGGAGTCACTAAACATATTATATATATATAAATGCAGCATATTAAAAAAAAAGAGAGAAAAACGTTTAGCAGGAGCAAGGCTCGGCGGGGGATTGTTTTGGCGCAAACCTCCAGACTAGCTCAGCGAAAATTTTCGGAATCTGGACACCCGAATCCACAGCTACTAGGTCCCCCAGCGAGAGGGTGCCCGACCTCTCACCGTTCCTTTTTTTAGGGGAGGGTTTGGGACCCTACTAAAATCGACTACAGAGAAAAGAAAGGGTACCCTTATTCTAAGCTCTCGAATCTGGAGGACCTAGGCTATATTCAGTCACTGGTTCCTAACTCTTCACTGGTTGGTTCGGTGTTCGGGTTCTTTTCATCTCTAGCAGGAGGGGGCTGCAACAAATAAGCTTTTCGGCTTCCATACCAAGGGTTGAAATGGAATTGGTCAAATTGATACTGGGGAGGGCTGTGGCAAGGGACACCATGGGAATCTGTTCATGGCTATACCCAGACCTCCATTGGTCGGCACGTCCGTTTGTTTCTCCCAACAAATGTGGGTGCTTCCCTTTGAAGTGATGAGCCGCTATCATTTGCTGGGCGCCCCTTTTTCTCATAGAGTCTTGATTTTGGAGTTCCCTGTTTCTGTCCGTTTCCTTTTTTGATGAGGTGGGGAAGCCTTCAACATCAAACAACTGCAAACACATGGCGGTCTTCCATTTGCGTTGGTGCTTCCCTTCAACGCAAACTTGCCCCTTTGTCATGTTTGAAGTTACTTTTGATCCTGCAACACCGTTTTCAGGGTTCCCTATATTTCCTCTTTGGGATGGTGAATATCACCTTGTAGGCCAGTTTATAGTGAGTTTTGGTTGCTGCTTGAAGCCGGAAACCAAGGAGACAAAAACAGCAAAATGGTAAGGTGAGCTGAGTCTAACAATGACAAGGTGTATATCATTTCTGCTATTTTGTAGCCAGCTCACCACACGGTGAATATCCTTTCTTGGGGATCGAATTCTTATTTCAGGTGTTGGACACAGTTTTCGGAATCATTCCAGCAATCACGTTGGAGGCCGCCAAATAGCTTCAGCCTATGGGCGTGTCTCAGGATTTTGGCTGAGTGCTTTCAAGGGCCCGCTACAGTCTTTGCGCGGCTCGGTCTTTTGACACGTAGCGGCATGCTTCGAAACACGAGAGAAACGCAGGAGCAAAATAGACATTGTGAAACAGGGAGGTGCCGTGAAGTCTTGGGCACACATTGTGCTCTCCACAGTGTAAATTGTACAGGTCCGGCAACGAAAGTTGAACCACTGGCTACAAAAGCTGAACCAGGTGTGTACGCCGTGTGCAAGGAGGCCCTACAGTTGCTGTCGCACTAGCTGTGCGCAACATACCTAACGTGGTGTTCGTTGTACATCCCTGAAGAAGACTCACAGCCAGCAGGCGGTGCTACGCGAGTGATTTGAAGGGGGCCTGCGTGCGGGCCAGTTTTAGCGCAGGAGCACTGCCTTTTAACACGTATTGGCATGGTTGAAAAGATCACAGAACCGAAGGATCTCTGAGAGCCTGGTTTCTAGTAGATGTTTTGGACGGGAAGGGTTCAGGGGAGGGCTGAAAAGTTACTCAGTACTAGGCAAACCTTGTTGGTCCTTTACTTAATGCAGAACACCCGGAGGAAAAGCCCATGTTTCGACTAGGTCAAGGTAGACTCAAACCCAGGAATCCGTTCGCATCTTGGGGACATCAGCTGGGTGTCGACCTTGGCCAATCAATGGAGCTCTGCCTTCGCGGCTTTCATTGTTTTTCCAAGGGATGATGTGCTCTACTAGATGGCTTTCACTTTCCAATGGACTTTTGTTTTTTCCCCAATGTTTTGTTTTTTCCCCACTGACTGGGTTACCTAATAGAATATGGTTTGAATTGGTCTGGCTTTGGAAGCCCCTTTTTTGTAGAGGGTAGTTGGGTTCCCCCCATCCTTAGCCACCACACCACCAAGCTTAAAGCCATGACTCGAAGGGAAGCGTCTATTTGCATTTCAGAATATTTATCTGGATGGTTTTAAAGGGAATCGATTTCACTACTGCAATATGTTTTTTGTGCAAGTGGAAGACTAGAACATGGGGTCTTCAATTCCAGACTCTTTTATATATATTTTTTTGGGGGGGCATCTAGGCTTGGTTTCTGGAGCAGGTTCTGCCACATTTGTTGTTTTTGGTATGTTGCAGGGGGTTTGTGATCACACCAGGTGGAGGTCGATTTTTTTCGCCAGGTTGAGGACCAGAGACAAGAGCTCCGTGAGAAGGAAGAGGCGCGGTCGGTCAATGAATCCAACTTCCTGAACCCTCATAATTCCCTTAAAAATGGGTTTGACCCCCCAAAATTATGGGGCGATATCCAATTTGTATGGGTAGTTTGAGGGTCCAACTTGCTGTTTGGTGCATTTTGCCAAGGGATGTTAGGACTTTCACTTTTTGCCAACTAATGGGTTTTCCATCAAACCCCTAAAAGTTAAACTTTTAGCAGGGGAGCAGATAGCAACCGAGTGCTGGTTCTCAGGTTCACGATGAACCCCCCTTTTGCCTTTTGGTGTAAGGTGAGCGTTCCCTTGACAAGGGTGACTAGGTCCCCCAGCTAGGTGCCCTTTCTCACCCCTTTTTTGGGGAGGGTTCCCTACTAAAATAGACTACCAAAACCCTTATTCTAACTCTCTGGAGGACCTAGGTGATGTGTTTAAGTGGAAATGGAAATGGAGCCCTGAAAAAGCTGAGGCACATCCTCGAAAGTGCGGGGTCATTGGAGGGCAAGGGACAATCCGCACATCCGCCTTGGTAATTCTTGAAGCACGCTTCTGGGCCTGGACCATTTTAACACCGGGTTTTGATTGCGACTCGGTTGGGACTATTCCTTCAATCTGCATTTGGCTGTGGGTCAAACCCAATGCTACCATTTTGGGGGATTGGTGCACCACCCATTTTAGAGCCTATTTTAGTGGGGATTGGGATGTTCACTGGGAGTACGGAGTCTGGGATGTTCACTGGGAGTACGGGATTATACGGGATTTTCACCCATGGCCATTTCAATTTGTTTCCCTCTCTTGGTTGCAAAGGGAATCTATCACTGGGGACGAGTCGCAAATGGAAGCTTCATCCTTACCTCTTAAAAACACAACTTTTCAATTTTTTGGGTAACATGGGCTATATGTCTGTAAAAGATTAACTTCCCCAGGGCTTGGAGTCTTAAGGGGTAAGCATCTCACTTTCCCAAAGCCGAGCTGTTCAACTGTTGGTTTCCCCTTTCTTGCAGTGCGATAGGTAGGGAGTGTTGAATGAACCCCGGCTTTGCTCCCCTTGCAGGACACCAGTTGGATGGTTTAGTTCGGGTCATTCCAACTCCTTCCCGGCGCAAGTTGTTTGGCCGAGTTCGATGTGTGGCCACAGGCTAGGTCCCCCAGCTAAATCCCCCTTTTACCGTTTCTTTTTGGGGGGGAGGGTTCCCCTACTAAAATAGACTACAGAGAAAAGGGCATCCTTGTTCTATACTCTCTACTGGAGGACCTAGAAGGTGATCCATCAAGACGGTGAGTGAATGGTACGGGACCTCCTGCCTAGGTGTTCGGACCGCCAGCCTTCGTTTGGTGCTTGAAAGGAATGAAGACCTGGGTCTGATGGCAGCGGCTCTTTGTTCCTTTTGGTTTCTCTTCAAAACACTCAGAACAAGCTGAAACAGGGTTTCCTCTGCTTGGCTCCCTCCATCCCCTTAGTGGTTGGTCTAGTGGTTGGGTTTTTTATGTAACCGACAAGTTCGTCATTTTAAGCAGGGGATCCGAAAAAAGCAGACAGCCCAGTCAATACTTCTGAAGAGGACATCCAAATGATCAATTGCAGGGAAACTTGTCTTGTGGGTGTCTTTGAGGATGCCCCCTGTTTTGTGGTTTTTAACGGGACACCTTCCCTAAGGGTCATGACCTGATTAATTCCTCAAGGGCCCTCAACAACCCATTTGGAGGGCCCAAAAACCGTCCGGGCCCTTAGGGTTAAAGGAAGTCCCCTTCAATTGCAGGCAAACTTGTGATTTGGGTGTCCTCTTTGAGGTTGCCCCCGTTTTGTTGCGGTTTTTCACGGGAAACCTTAAAGGAGAACCCGGGGCTTCGAATCACCGGGGGACTTCCGAAGTTCGCGCGTGGCCCGAAGCCTCCACAAAATCTTCGGCGCGAGGAGGTGCGGAGGCTCTTCGAACTAGAGCGCGGACGCTCAGACGGATCCATTCGCCGGGCCCGCGGCCCGCGGGCCAGCGGATTGATCCGCCAGAAAAGTCGGCGAGTGGCGGTTTTTATTGGTTTCATTCGGAATGATAAACCGGTTTGTGATCTTGTGCAGCTTACAATGCTTGTGATATGTATGTCGATATTGTTTCGGATACTGTTTGTGCAGCTAAATAGCTTTTTTTTATAGATTGTTTCCTTTCATTTGTTTGTTTCATTCGGAATGCGAGATCCGGCGGTTGGTTTCAGGTAAGCCTTAGTTGGTGTTTTGGATTGGTGGGAACTTGGGATTTGAACCATTTTTTGTTCTTGTGGAGGATATTAAGTGGGAGTTTCCCCTGCGGAACACCGCCAAACCACCGGGCTCCAACAAACCAACTGGAGGGAAGCTGAACATCCGGCTGCTGGCCCCGAATCAGTTGTGCCACCATGAAGAAGAATGGTTCCAAGAGATCTGCTAGTACTGCCTTTGGCTGAGTGTCTTTCTTCAACCAAGAGCAAAATCAAGAAGGACCCTGGCTTTGCAGGTCCTTGCATGACCAAGGGTTGGGCAAATACAAGCACCATGGTTTACCGTTTAGGATTGTCATCATCGACTTGGGTCCCCTTTGGCCATTCTTCTAATGGGGGCAAGGAACCTTAGGGTAAAGGGGGGGTAGGTGAGAGAGCCCCGAAATGGAAATTCTTGAAGGGCTTCCTAGAGAGCTCCGGAACAAAAGCAGAGCAGGTGAGAATTTTTGTCTCATGCGGGGTCCGGGGTGTCCATTTGCTTTGGGATTCAGGCCACTTTTGAGGCCCGCAATTCTTAGGGCCAGCAAATTCTTGTGGGTTTCGACCGGCAGGGCTTGCTTCAACCTGCCTTGTTCAACTGGCCCTTCTCTCAAATCCATTGAGGGGCTGCCATCGACCTCTTCGGCTTCGAACCGATTAAAACAAAATCGCTGGGACTTCGGAGTCCTTGGTTTAGGTAAGGCGGTGCCAGCTGATTCGCTACCCTTCGATCCTTTTCGTGGGATCCTATGTGTTTTGTCTACTTCGAGTGTTCGCTTGGCCCAGCCATCCGGTTCTCGCAGTCTGGTTCCTGAAGGTCCTTCTTTTCCAAAACAAGCACGAGTGATCCACTGTCTGCTTGTGGGAATACAGCCCAGGTATCAAAAGTTGGAACTGGAAGCTCACTCTTCACCATGGCAGAATGGGGGAGAGACCTGAATTTGAGAGATCAGCTCACTGATCAGAAGACAAAGAATGTCCCCTGCCAGCACCGTGATGACTATGGGTTTTAAAGCAACCGTTAAATGGGGGCAGAACGACAGTGCATTAGTGCATGTACAGACACACCGACTTGTTTCTTTTTGGGGCCTTCTCCTTCTTTCCCCCTCCCCCAATAAATCGCTGCGTCGAACAGACACTGTGCGCTAGCGCAAAGGACAAAGGGGGCAGAACGAAGATCAGGTGGGTTACCACAGTTCCTGAAACCTTTTGGCTTGGACCTCCCCAAGCATGGGTCCAACCCGGCAAGCCTTTCCCCAAGTTTTGACCGCGGCGAGGTGGTAAAAAAAAGCCGTTTGGCGTTTGCCCCTTTTAAGCCACACACAAAAAGGGGGGCAGCCTCCAAAATCGAGACGGTTTCAGGTGGTAAAGGCCTTTTGGCTTGTTGTCCAAATTTTAAGCCTTTCAAAAGCAAGGGCTGTATCCTCAAAAAAACCTGGAGTCTCCATGACCCTTTCAAAATGGGTCAATGACCCCATTCTTTTGGGGTCAATGACCACAAATTCTTTTTAAGAGTCAGAGGGAGACTCCGAAAAAGCACGTCCCTCACCCCCCCCCCCCCACGGGTGTCCCTTTTCAGCCTTTCAAAAGCAACGGCCGCAGCCTCCAACAAAAAAGGGACGCCCCCCACCCCCCCAGCCCCCCACCCCACCCCCAACGCCCCGCCCCCCCCACCCCAACCCCCCACCCCAGCCCCCCCAACCCCACGGGGTGTCCACACTCCCGAAACCGAAGTCGAGGTGGTCCCGGATGCGCTCGGAGTTCGAGGAGCGCGCCAAGAGCCAAGCTCGGGAGGCGGGACCCGGGAGCCGAGTCGTGGGGAGTGGGCGGCGCTCGTCGTTTTCCGGTTTTCTTTTTGTTTTTTTTTTTTTTTTTTTTGTGTGTGGTTTCCCGGTGGTTGGTTGGTTTCTAAAGATTTAAAGAAAAAGCAAAAAGGAACATGCACATGTTTAGGGGTTGCCCACCTCGGCTCCCCCCCCAAAAGAATGGCACACATGCACATGTTGTGAAATTTGTTTATTAGGGGTTGCCCTCTACTGTGGAAGCTGACAGGAGTGCTTTGGACGACTGCTTTCCTTTAGGGCAACCTCCCCTGTGCACTTTTATGATTGATGGAACGAGGGAGTCTAAACCAGGAGATATCAGAGTCTCAAGCTACATGGGGGTGATTTTCACACTGGCATCATGGGGGGTTTGCCGTTTCGTGCGGCTTCAAAACCCCGTGTCATTCTTTGCATGGGTTCTTGGTACTTGGGTGTTAACTCAGCAATCACTCACGAACTCCGGGAAACTGGGCTGATCGTCCCCGTAACAAAATGGAAGAAAGAACCAACACAGGCTAATAACCTTCTTACCCACTTACCTGCGTTGGTTGAACACAGTCTCAAAATCGTCGCCCTAGATCCGGTCCCGACCAAATTCCTCCAGGTTAGTGCCGGGATGTGAGTGTGTTGAGATGGGATGGACGGGAAAGTTCTTACTTAAGCGAATCAACCTAGTCTTAGGAACTCCATCCTGTTTGGGGGGGCGGGGGGTCCTAGAGCAAGCAGTAGCTTACCCCAAACCTCATCATTGTATACTCCCCCCTATGGTTTTCACGCCATTTAAAAAGCACCGCCCAAAACCAACCAAATATGTTTGGCATAAATCCCGTAAAAATCAATCCACCCACCAATTGTTTTAAGTTTTAAGTTATTCATAAAAGCATAACTTAAACCAACTCAATTTTCCTTAACCTCGTTCTTTTCCAGATTTCCCTTATGCCTGTAAGTTTTTTCGTGCCTTGGTTTATGCGACCTTTTTATATCACAATCGCACACATCACAATGATACACTACTTGGTGCTTCCTCCTGTTCTTTTCACGGCACTTATCACAAACCTTGTAAGGTTCAGTGAATAAATCCACTTCCTTATCCTTCTGACAACCCGAGCAGTATTTCTTTTCCATAACCTCTAGCCTACTATACCAACAACCCTTTAAACCCTTTTACATGAGATGGGTAAGCCCCCTGTCCCGAAAAAACCCACCAAACAACAAACCACACAAAAAACCAAACAACCGACCATACAATAGATTGTTACAAAACCCCCAAACAAAAACGAAACAGAGAGAGCGACCGTGCGCCGTGCTTCGGGAACACCAACGACGAGTTGGTGATGGTGCGCCCTGCTTGTTTATTGGGTTTTTGCTGATGCTGTCGCACGCATGAGCATCAGCGCAACAGTGATTGAAACCCAGCACAACAGGGACTAAAACCCAGCACAACAAGGCCAGAAACCCAGTACAACAGGGACTAAAACCCAGTACAACAGGGACTTGTAGTGTAAACATGTAGTCAAAAACCATGCGTGCTGATGCTTGTGTCATTCGGATTTTCGGTTTGACGCCAAGTGCGCGTTGAGCTCGGATGCAATCTGAACTTGGGTGAGGGAGGGGAAAAATGGTTTGAGTGCTTTTGTGAGTTGTGCCACTTGTTTCGCACTCCCTTAAAATTCATTATTTTCAAAATTTTAAAATTAATATGTTTTACTCTTTTGTCATTGGATGAACCTAGAAATTTCAATTTTCAACCACAATCCCAAACTCGTTTTCCTTAATCCACCAAACTCACCAAAATTTCACAAATCAAATCAGCAGGGATTTTGTATAAATCTTCTTGCTTATGCTTTACATAATTCTCGCCCCAATTTTCCTTACGACCGGATGGTGCCCGTTGCGCAGTTTCAATATGTTTGTTATTAACCACTTTACCACAATCTTTATTACATAAACTTCGGGGTTTCCATCCAGAGGATGTAAAAGGGACTTCGTCCCGTTTCCATCTATCAAGATTGTTCCACAACCTAGTTCGCTTCCTGTAATTAAATCCATATTTGCAATAGTCAATGTCATTAAACCTTAACCCATTCATAAAAGACTGACTTTTCAATAATCCAGTCTGTGGATTTTCAATAACAAAATACGGCCATCCGAAATATTCAATAATCTCTATTGTTTTTAATACAATACTATTAGCATATTCAATGTTTCTTATTCCTGTTCTTTTTGCAATACTGTATTCGGTGCACGGAGGACTGCTCCAAATAAAATTAAAATGGTTCTTATCAAACTGTTTATAATCCCATTCAAGTATATCACAATTAATATCAGCATTTTTCAAATCCAACGATATTACATTAAAACCGAGCGACTTTGCAATAAGTCCAACACTGCCTGTGCCTGAAAATAATTCTAATAAATTCATATTATTAGAATTATTTATATTTTAATTTTCAACAATTACATATTTACCATCATCACCCTTAATTAGTTTATAATATTCTAATGTTTGTTCTTTTGGACTTTTGATTTGTCCCTTATTTAACATATCACAATATTTTTTACGCTTCGTGTCATAATCACCGCTGGGTCTGCCTATCCCTTTCTTTTCAAAGATTTTGTCAATCTTTTCCTTCTCTTCATTGTTATTTTTTGGTTCGTTTGCCTTTGCATCAAGTTTCTGGTCAATAGTTTTTATCATCTCGTACAACAGTTTAACATTTTTACTAACTGTCATTATCTTCTTTGATAGTTCAACAATAGCATCATTCTCAACTTCAGACATTTCTATATATAAATATTTATATATTTATTTATGCGTTTGAAGTGGTGTTAAATCTACTCTTTAAATACTAATATTTCATCATTCTTTCTCAGGTGTAAATAACCTACCAAATCCACTTTTGAAGTTTTCTACCCAACTTTCTTCAACTGTGCTCCCGTCGGCATCTTTCTTTTTTACTGTATGTACTGTATGCATGGTTCTACCACATGAACACGGCCAACATTTAACTTTAACATGTTCTTTATCTAATTCTAATTCATTTAATGGTTTAATTGTTTGACCGCATTTTTCGCATTTGACACATTCAATCTCTTTTTGTTTCTCTTACTTCTTCTTTGGAGGCATTTATATTAATATTTACATTTTTAGTTTTGATATATTGAATTCCTAACTTAATTATTTCTAAAACAAAATAGCATACTTTCTTACATTTATTGTCAGTTATTATTACTTGTTCTATATTTTCTACTTCATCTATTATATCAATATAATCTGTATAACTCCTTTGCATATTAAATAATAAGATAAATTATTCTAATTAATCTTATTATTTCATGCATAATAGAATATTGATGGGGCACAGCACTTGGAGTTTTCATTGCAATTCTTCAAACTAATTATGTTCAATGCTTATTGATTGAAGCAATGGAAAACCTGTTCCATTTTATGATATTCGCCACCAGCATATCATAAAAATGATGTTCCATTTAATATTAATTACAAGTTAATTTTTAAATATAATTTTCTATATTTCTTTAATATCAACTATGACAGATGTCCCAATAATAAAACCAATAAACATAACTGGTTATGAATTCAAACAATCTAAATATGAGCACGTGCCAAAACTACCATTTAGAAGTATTATAGTCGCGAGTTCAACGGGCGGGAAGACTGTCCTTATTCAAAATTTAATATTGAATGTTTATAGAAATTCATTCGCAAGAATATTTATATTTTCCCCCAGCGTCCATAACGACCCTACATTTACAGAAGTTAAAAAATATATCAGGGATGAATTGCACGTGGATGATGAAAAAGAACAAATTTATTTTGATAATTATAATCCAAGTGATTTAGAAAATGTAATTGAAAGACAGAAGAAAATAATTAATTATATGAAATCTAAAAAGATAAAGAAACTACATTCAATATTAATCGTTATAGATGACCACGCAGACGACCCTAAATTTGTTAGATATAGTAAATTATTACATGGATTATTTACAAGAGGCAGGCACGATGCAGTAAGTGTGATTTGTTCAACACAAAAATACAATGTTTTAGCGCCTATCATTCGTTTGAATGCCAGTTCATTATATATTTTTAGGTTGAAAAATGCCAGTGAGCTAATGAGTTTTATTGAAGAAAATAGCGCCATTGTTGATAAACAGCAATTATTAGATATGTATCATCAAGCCGTTAATTTTGCTCCATATTCTTTTTTCTACGTGAATATGAATTCAATAGACATTAACAAAATGTTTCATATCAATTTTGAACAGGCATTTCAAATTACAAATGATGAATAAAGATATTCTAATTTAATATAATATAATAATATGGTTATAAAACAATGTAAATGCGGTGGATTTTATCGTAGAGGTAATTATAATTTTCATACTAATTCTTGGATACATAAACTTTATAAGGTATTGAAAAGAAGGGCAACAGACGAGGAATTATTACGATTTCAAAATAATTTTGTTGATGAAGAAGATTTAATAGATGATATGTGTAGCAACGCCTCAACAAAATTACCCGAAAGTGAAATGACAGATTATGATAGTAATTAATAATATTAATGTATGTTAATATTATCAATTTAGAATAAAGAATAGCTACATAAATTTAAGGCAGGAAATTTATAATATGTTTTATCTTTTTTACATTCATTAACTTTTTCTAATTTATTTATTATTGCTTTCAATGAATTTATTTGTAGAATATCAATTCTTGACATTTCACTTATCGTATTTACATCTATATCTTTTATTACTTTAATAGCCTCTTCATCATCAATTTCTACTGGTTTTGATTTACTTGAACCCATTATATATAATATTATTTAGATTTTAATTTTTCAAAATTATATTTTTGTTTTTCTTCTCCGTCTTCTTCTTCTTCGTCTTCAGTTGGTGCTGGTATTTCTGTTGGACTTTCAGATGAAGAACTATGAACAGTAATAG